AAATAATCTTTTAAAAAGTTTATTTTTTAAATTGGGAATACATTCTTTCATGAAAAATTAAAACTAACCACTAACATAAATGGGATATACTGGATATGCTATGAAAATAAGTATAAGTTATTAGGGCACAAAAGTTAATATTAAGAACAATTTAAAATTGTAGGAAAAAATTTCCTGACCAAGTATTTTTAGCATCATTCACTGGAATTATTTTATATGCCAGAGGGACATGGACAAGAGGACTGTGGTCATGTCCCCAAGTTACATCATGCCTTATGCCTTAGCAGCTCTTCAAAAAGGCCCACACCTGGATCAGCAAGAAAGAAAACAGACTTCTTCCTTTCCACTGTGCACTCCACCAAGTAAGGCACCAGATCTCTTCTTTCAATCCACAGAGGAGCCTCGGCAGAGCTTGCCAGTCATCCAGGGGGCTGGACGAACATTAGCAGTCCCTTACTACTAAAACTTGTTTTTTTAAAAAAAAATCAAGTAAGTTTAACAGGTTTCTCCCTTTATCGTAAAGTAATGCCTGTCTACTTTGGAAATTTTAATAATACAAATAAGTAAAAATATAGGAAAGAAATTAGTTTGGCCTTTCATCATTTTTCTTCATTTTCTGGAGGCCCTAAAAGCTTAGATTCTTCAAGCTTTCCCTCAACTCAGGGGTTTTATACTAGCTAAGCCATACCCAAATAATAGGAAGAAACTGAAAATAAAGGCTACTAAAATAAAAGACAACCATTAAATCTTCTATCTTAACATGACAAGCCACTGCAGCTTTATATTCATGTATTTTTAACAGTGACTAACAAACAGAAACTTATCTGGACATGATTTTTTTAATAGTTCTCCTTTTGCTATCTCCAGTGGGCCTCAGTTATCCATCCTAGTATTACCTGTCAGAGTGACTTAAAATTTCCAATAATAGTCCTTTTGCATAGTAACTGGAACCTAATAGGTGATCAAAAATATAGAATAAATGATTCCAATTTACTAAAATGCACCTTCAAAAATCAAGAGATAAAAAGCAGCACTGTCCAAATTTGAAGCTATACAACCTGACCCCAAAACCTGAGTTTTCATTCTTTCTTCCACTTTGGTGTTTTTCCAGCCACTCCAACAAAACTCTGCTCTCCACCCGTAAGTAGGGTATCTCTGCCCGTGAAATACTAACAAAAAAAATGATGTCTGAAAGACAAAGACTCAAGAAACTACTAATAAGTAAATTCCAGGAAGCAAATGAAAAAACAACAGAGTCCACAATTGTACACAAAAAAATGCTGAAATTTATAAGATACTAAAACAAACACTAAATGTAAACATCACTTTGTTATAATTTGATTTTGGCTAATCTGCTTTATTGATGATTTCTGTAGTGCCCACGTTCAGGCTGTATGATAGTATGAACCCAGTTTTGTAAAATCAGGGACTTAGCTTCATGATCTTTACTAAATTCTCCTGGCTTGAGTATGCCACTATTCACTTTGTTTCCCCCTTTCAAGACACAAATCCCCTATTTTTCATCTTGTACTTTCAAATTAACCCAGTAATAGAAAACATCCTCTGGCAGGCATATCAATACATCATTTGCAAATTCACATGAAAACTGAATTACCTACCCACCAGAAAAACAATAATCTTACCTTTTTTCATTTCCATATGACTTCTGCGCAACTTTTGCATGAAGAATAAGTACTGTTTGATCCCCTCGCTCTTTTAAATAATTTCGCATAGCTTCCCTAAAATCAAATATAAATATTAGTATTACAGGGGTGAAATATTAATATTTGATAAAAATCTTTTTTTTATTGCTATGCTCTGTTATTGAGAGATCTCAGGAATATTTTTTAAACAAGCAAAACTAAAAACAAAACAAAGTAAAACAAATCCATGAACTAAATTTAAAGAATATTATACAATGATAATGACTGCTCACTTTCAACTGTAAACTTTGCTCTTCAAAAGAAACTGTCCCTTATTCTTTGGAACTTATGATGTGACTCAATTAAACCACAATTACAACTTCTATAATAACTAGAATCACCATGTATACTGCTAATGTGGCTTATAAAGTTAATGACATGCAATACTTTTGTAGTTTAATAATCTAGTTCCCCCCAGATTCCCTCTCCTAGCTATTAGAATCTGTTTTATATGAAAGCCGTCACAGACGAGTAGGTCATACAAATGTATTATACATGATCCTAAAATGACAATCCTACATAAGGACTAAGAAAAGGCATTGTTTACATACAAATACACAATTATCCTGAAGGATGTTACTAAATACATAACAAAATTTAATAAAGGCTCACTGAAATTAGTGAAAAACTGAATTAAATTTTGGAAAAAATATAATGTTAATTCTTTCAAGTACAAACTATTCAAACTACCTATTAAGCAAATGCTCCATAAGAAGTCCAATGTCTTAAATTTATTTACCCACCCAATTACGTTGCTAAGCAACAGTATAATTTAAGAAGCAAGCTCTACAAAGATCAAACTACTACAATTCTGAATCAGCAGAATCCCAATTCTTAAGATACTTTACACATCACAAAATTAAAGCAAAGATGCTTCAAAGACAATCATCAAGAAATACTTTTTTCCTTTGGCAGCTGGCCTGTACAGGGGTCCATACCCTTGACCTTGATATTATCAGCACCACACTCTACCAGTGAGCTAACCAGTCTGCCCCCAAAAATACTCTTATTAACTGGTATTCCATCTACACTGGAAATAAAAACAAATGTGAAGTATAAGAGGACATCTATACAATAGTAGTAAGTTATTAAATGTGGAAAATTCCAGACTCGTAGCATTTACACACTAAGTAACCTGGTACAAGCACTTAACCTCATCCAGCCTCTGTTCCACGTCTGGAAACTGAGATAATAATACCTACCTAACAGTAGCATCTTGGGAAAGTTGTGTAACTTTTCCCCAGTTTCTACAATGTACATAACAGTGTCACCCTCAAGGTTGTTGGTTATGTTAATACATACCTAGAACAGTACTGGCACAAAATTGCTTAATTTTAGTTCTTTTAATTATTATAATTAATATTTTCTCTGCAGAAAGAATTTGCGACTGCCTCAGGTGTTATCAAATACCAAATTTGTGTCCTACTTTACATGAGTTGTCATAAAAGGGACAGGAGTATAAACTATGGATCTTGCTCTTAAAGGCTCTGTAGTCTAACGAGTAAGAAAAGAGCAGTAAATATTTAGAAACAGCCTTTAGGGAATGGAAAAGGAAGCAGCTGACTATGGACAAATAAAATGAAGATCAGTATCAGAGGGCCTGCTAATGTTGGAATCCAAAACTACTGATGCCAATTTCCAGTAACATTCCAAGGGTGGGAACAGGGATGGCATGTTCTCAAACTTGTGGGTACTGGAGATGCAGCTTGGAGAGGATAAGGGATTTGAGGTGTTGCTAAGTCAGGCGACTGACCAGAGAGTTCAGGGTGGATAAGACAAAAGAAAAGCCAGGAGAAAGCCAAATATACTGACAAAATTGGCACAAGAGTCCCTGGCATAAAACTTGAAAAGCTGCTATATATTTGAACGAAGAACTTTAAGCTGCAAGACTATTTCCCCAAACTAAATTCTATTTGTATTCATAGTCTCTGGAGCACTTAGCAATTACTTAAGTTTGTCAGGTTTCATATTTATTTTTCTTGTTCTCCCACATAGACTACAAAGTCTTTAAGAGCAAGATCCATACTTTATACTCCTATCCCTTTTATGACAACTCATGTAAAGTAGGACACAAATTTAGTATTTGATAACACCTGAGGCAGTCGCAAATTCTTTCTGCAGAGAAAATATTAATTATAATAATTAAAAGAACTAAAATTAAGCAATTTTGTGCCAGTACTGTTCTAGGCATTATTAACATAACCAACAACCTTGAGGGTGACACACTGTTATGTGCACTGTAGAAACTGGGGAGAGGTTACACAACTTTCCCAAGATGCCGCTGAACAGTCTGGATTCAAACCTAGGCAGTCTGGCTCTCAAGAACAAAATTATAATGTCAGGTATTTTACAGTGGTTAAGAGCACAGCTTTGGTATAAAACAGACCAGGAGTGAATCTGTCACTTAGTAGGCTTTCTCACTTATAAAATAACGACAAATACCTTATACCACAAAAAAAATTTTAAAGTTAGCCCCACAAACTGATATATAGCAAGTGTCAGCAGACTCCAGCTATTACTATTATAAATATTAACAGTAAGAGTTAATAACTACACAGGATGCAGGGGGAGGGAGAACAGGGACATTGAAGCTTTGAGAGCAAACTTGAAAAGGAACTAGGATTGAATGATCAGGCATCTAATCCAACCTGCAAAGCATGAGTTTCACAAGTATGCCAGGTAAGCTGGACAACTATTCATCTTCCCATTGAAGATTTACTGAAAATCTCCTACATCCTAGGCACTTTACACTGCAAACGAAATTCAGAAAAAGAAGGCCAAAGTGAAACATATCCATGAATGATAAGTGCATGTGCTGCTGTCTCCAAAGGGCCTACTTTTACAGTGAGGCCACTGGAGACAATAGGAGTGTAAAAAGTAATCAAGCAAATAGAACTTGCCCCCAGCAACCAAGGTAAGAGAGAACCTCAATTATGGGGAAATACAAAGTCTTCATAAATTTGGTAATTAGTTAATTGGACAGCTTAATAGGAACATTGCAAGTGAGAGGGTAGAGAGCAAACTCCACACTGAAGTAAGCTGCAAAATGAGCGGAAGGCAAGGAAGTGTAATGAACATAAACCATGCTTCTTGGCTGGTAAGGAAAAAAAAGGGGAGAGGGTAGATAACTAAGGGTAGGGTACAAAAGTTTGTCTCTTTACAGGATTTTTTAAAATATGGGTAAAAAGGTAAGCTTTCTAAGGTTTTGTAAAGCCAATAAAAGCCAGGAAGAGAAAGAAAATTAAGATGCAAGACAGAAAGACCTAATATCTATAAATGGAGTATCTTCTAAATGGTTGAAGCACGAAGCCCACAGAATGCTGAAAGATTAGGTTGGAAAGACAGGGTGGTATGAGGCTGGGTCAAGTCTTAAATACCACGCTGGTAAGTGTGGATTTAATTCACAGGTTAGTGTTTCCCAAAGTAAGTTCCTGGTAGCAGTGGCAAGATACTCCTTAAAAACACAGTTCTGAGGTCCAAGACATATGGAAAATACTACATGCCACATCTCCCTCTAGGACATAAATTACAGCAGTTTTAGTTCAGTATGCTAATAGTGCTAACTGCCACTCTTCTAAAAACATACCCCTTTATTTCCTCATCACATTCACACATGCCTCCATGATTGGTCCAAGGGGTGAATAAATGATGTAAACCAGACCAGCAGGGGGGAGTAGTCAGGAGAGACAGAATAGGAGAGAGGCATTTGAGTGGAGAGCTAACCATAGCCAGCCCCACCTACTCTAAGAGAGAAAACTGACCCACAAAGATGGGCAGTCTGGACAGTCATCCTTACCAACCGGCTCAGTCCCTGCACTTCTCAAATTGGATTACTGTCACTTGCAAAAACCAAATAATAAAAGTTCCAAAATGGGCTTTGTCTGAATAGTACAGACTATCATTTACCTAACTAAATTGTCTTTGCACCTTGATTGGGAAACAACTGACTACATATCTAAAGAATTATTTCTGTTCACTATTCTGTCATGATGCCACTCTATACTCATACCAATACTGTACTTATTACTACAGCTATTGTAGCTATTGGGGGGGGGGGGGGGCAGCACTGGCCAATACATTCATTACTAGCTTTATAATAAGTTTTGAAATCAGGTAGTATAAGTTCTTGTTGCTCTTTTTCAAGGTTGTCTTGGCTATTTTAGGTTGTTTGCATTTCCATATGATTTTTAAAAACATCTTGTCAAGTTCTACAAAAAACCTGCTGAGATTCTGATTGGGATTGTGTTGAATCCATAGTTCAATTTGGGAAGAACTGACATCTTAACAATATTTTCTTATGCTGGACGAACATTTACTTAGGATTTCAATTCTCCCAGCAATGTTTACAGTTTTCAATGCAGAGTTTTTGCACATCTTTCATCAGGTTTTTCCGTAAGAATTACATATTTTTTGATGCAATTATAAATGGTATTTTTTTTTTAATTTCACTATCCCGTTGTTCATTACTACTATACAGAAATACAATTCAGTTTTGTAAATCATGCATCCTACCTTGCTAAACTCACTTATTAGTTCTAGTAGCCTTTTTAAAATTCCACCACACAAATATGTATACATGTAAATAAATAAAGATTCCATAGAATTTTCTATGTAGATGATTATGAAATCTGCAAATAAAGATAATTTTAGGAACTGGCCAGTTAGCTCAGTTGGTTAGAACAGGGTGCTGATAATACCAAAGTCCAAGGTTCAATCTCTGTACTGACTGGCCACCAAGAAAAACAAACAGTTTTAAGTTTTTTCTTTCCAATCTGATATCTTTCATTTCTTTTTCTGGTCTTATTGTACTGATTAGTACCTCAAATACAATGTGGAATGAAAGTAGTGAAAGCAGAAATCCTGTGTTATTCCTGATGTTAGAGGTAAAGCATTCAGCCTTTCGCCATTAAGTAAGGTGTTATACACAGTTTTTTGTAGGTACACTTCTATCGGAATAAGGAAATTCCCTTCTATTACTAGTTTACTGAGAATTTTTATCAAGAATGAATGCCAAAAGCTTTTTCTAAATCCCTTGAGATGACCATATGATTTTCCTTTTTTTGTTCGGAATATATTGAATTACATTTACTACTTTCCGTTCCTGAGGTAAATCTAAGTCATGATGTATTATCTAATATATTCTTGTATTCCATTTGAAAAATCTGTTAAGACTTTTTGCATCTATGTTCATAAAGGATATTGGTCTGTAGTCTTGTTTTCTTGTAATGTCTAGTCTGCTTTTAGTAACAGTGTAGTAATGCTGTCCTCACAAAATGAGTTGGGAAGTATGTCCTGCTCTCCAAATTTCTGGAAGGGTACTTACAGAACTGGCATGTTTTCCTAAACATTTGGTAGAATTCAACAGTGTAGCCATCTGGGCCTGCAGTTTTCTCTGTCAGAAGGCTTATAATTACAAATTCAATTTCTGTAGATATAGGGGCTATTCAGGTTACCTGCTTCTACTTGAGTAAACATTGGTAGTTTGCTAGTTTCAAGGAATTAATTAACTTCTTCAATAGTTGTTGGATGTATTGGAACACATTTATATTTGCTTGTTATCTTTTAAGTATCTACAGAATCTGTAGTGATGTCACCTTTTTGTACAGAATCAGGTTTCTATCTGATATGACTGTCCTGCTTGAAGAATTCCTTTTAACATTGTAGCTCAAGCCTGTTTGTGATGAATTCTTTCAGTTTTTAATATGTCTAACAAAGGCCTTTACTTTGCCTTCACTGGGTATAGAATTCTAGGTTGACACAATAAGTTCTTGCTCCACTTATTATCTTAGCAAGATGAAAAGCCTGCTGTAATCCTTATCTTTGTTCCTTTGTACCTAATTTAGCTTCTGTCTCTGTTGCTTTTAAGATTTTCTCTCTATCACTGGTTTTAAGCAATTTGATTATAACGTGCTTCGGTGTAGTTTTTGCACTTGGGATTCACTGAGTTTCTTAGATCTGTGGTTTTATAATTTTCACCAAAGTTAGAAAACTTAGTCATTATTTCTCCACATATTGTTTTAGTCATACCCTCCCTTTCTTTCTTTCTTTCTTTATTTTTTTTTGTCTTTTTCCGTGTCCGGCAACGGATCGCAACCCTCAGTGTCGCCTCAAAGGCTCTACCTACACATATATCAGGCCATCTGAACACAGAACCACAGCTCACTAATGCTTGCTGGTTGGTTTTTTGACTTTTTCTCAGTATGCTTCACTTTAGATTGTTTCTATTACTACATCTTCAAGTTCACTAATCTCTTCTTTATCTATTCTGACATTAATTCCATCAAGTATATTTCTTTGCCTTAGACCAGGGAACTTACACAGGGCAAAAGCCTTTAGTGTAGGTAAGAGATTTGAGGCAGAACAGGGATTGTTCAAAGGGCAAAAGCCCTTAGCACAACAAAGATCTTCAAGGATGTTCTGCTCGATTAGATAAGGACATTAAGGTCATTTCTTATCCAGCTTCAGTCCCTTTCCTTTGTTTCTTAAGAAGTTTTCCAGAGAATGCCCCATAGCCAATTTCTTTTCATTCCTATGATAAATGACTGATTAAGTTGTTTTGTCTCTTGTACTTCTTTGTCTTTACAATAAAAGCTGAAGCAAATACCGACTCGGGACTGCGCCTTGTTTTTCCCTTCTAGAGGGAGTTTTTCTCGGTGCAGTCCCTTTGGACTTCTCATTGCTTTTAATATTTGAGCTCTGAGTAATCTTTGTCTCTCTGTCATGCAATATATATATATTGCATGACAGAGAGACATGCAAAATATATATATATATTTTCCATGTCTCTACTTGTTCAATCTCTCCTCTAGCTCAGGGATCTACAAATTACAGCCTGTAGGCCAAATCTGACCCACCACCTGTTTTAGAAATAAAGCTATACTCCAGTATACAGACATGCCAATTTGCTTACACATTGTCTATGGCTGCTTTTGTGTTACAACAGAGTTGGGTTGTATGACAGAGATTGTATAAGCCACAAAACCTAAAAATCCTCAATTTGTGTCTGTCTGATGTTTCTTTATGTTTAAATCTAGTTCATGTATTCTTAGCAAGAATACCACAAAATTGATATTGTGTCTTTCTTGGGAAGTACCTGATTATTTGTCCATTAATGGTGATGTTAATTTAGATCACTTAATCAAGGTGGTGTTGCCAGGTTTCTCCACTATCATGTTAGTATTTTTCCCTTTATAATTAATACATACTTTGAGACTGTAATATTTTGTTTCTCATGAAATTTTAATCCAGTAGTTTAAGCACTAGTGATGATTTGTGCCTGAAACAATCATTAACTATGAAAGTAGCCAAATGGTGATTTTCTCATTTCATCATTCCTTGTACAATTATTAGGTGGCATTCTTCTGTAAAGAAAAGCTATCCCTTTCCTCCATTTATTGATTTATATAAATAAATAATACTTATACTAAGATAAGTAATCATCTCAGTATAGACTTCTAAACTTTATTCTATGGATTTTAATCCATTCCTATCATTATTTATTTTGATGATCAAAGTATCCCAGATTTGCCTAACAGGAGCCCTTTCAAACTGTCTCCTGCATCCTCCTGGTAGGTCCCCATCATTCTCTAAGTGCAACAGCTTTTTAAATAATATCAATAATTTAGAAATAACCTAAATGGCCATCAGTGTGAAATATTAAATAAAGAGTTGTATGAAGACGATGGAAAACCATGGAGCCATTAAAGAGAACTATCAAGGAAGATAAGTGGAGTTAAAAGGTGCAGCACAGTGGTACAGTATGATCCCGGTTGAGTTTTAAAAAAAAAAAGAAAAAAGAGGCATATACATATATACATACAATTTTCTTAAGAGATACAAAAAAAGAACACTGCTAACAATTCAGCCATAGAGTTACCTCTAGGACTATGACTGTGAAAACTGGGTCTCTTAGTTTTTATTTTACAACCTCTAGCTGTTAGAAATTTTTAAAAATCACTTAAGACTAATACTTTTAAATTTAACATTTATAATTAAAATGTATAGTGTAATATTAAATTATATAATTAGAACACCATATAATATTTATATTCTCATTAAAAATGGATAAATCTTCTGTTTTCTTTAAAATTCTTTTTAAAAAGCATTTATTAAATCTTTCAATTCTCACCTATAATCAAAAAATTGTGATTGGCTAAACACAGCTATCATATAGGAAGCTATCTTTTATACTGCCGCTCTTGTATCTCAAAGAGGTTTCATTTTCCCTTTGAACTACATCCTCTTATTCCAGTATTGGGGGTAAGAGAAAGGGAAATGGATGGGAATAAGCTTATGCTCTAGATACAATATTTGAATGACTTTTCTTTCTTTCTTTTTTTTTTTTTTTTTGTCTTTTTTTTTTACGTGTCCGGCAACGGATCGCAACCCTCAGTGTCGCGCCCATACCGGACCGGGACCGGCAACGAGATCGCAACCCTCGGTGCTGCGCCCACACCTCGCCCAGCCAGTGAGCGGGAACTGGTCTATATGTGGGATCCGGACCCTCGGCGGGAGCACCGCCACACTCCCAAGCGGCACACTGTAGCAGTGCGCCACCGGGCCGCACCTCGCCCAGCCAGTGAGCGGGAACTGGTCTATATGTGGGATCCGGACCCTCGGCAGGAGCGCCGCCACACTCCCAAGCGGCACACTGTAGCAGTGCGCCACCGGGCCGGCCCTGAATGACTTTTCAAGAGCAACTAACAGTTTCTAAAATGACAGGATCTACATTTCTATGAAACATTTAGGTGAAAGGCTGACTAATACAATGCTTACCTAGTTAGTCGTTTAGGTGGAGGCCGCTCACCAAATTTCCTGGAAAAAAATAAAAGAAAAAAATTTAAATAAGCTGTATAATATGCTCCACAATAAGCTTTAGGTGCAATGTAGTTTCCGCTACGTCAGCCTTACTAAAGAACAGTGAGAAGTAAAATCCTCTAAGTAAGCATCTGTACCTAGACATAACAAAATACACATGTAGTGAATTGAACTATGCCCCCCCAAACTCATTGTAGCTTGAATTGTGTCTCCCAAGTTTTATGTATTAGAAACTTAGCCCCCACTGTGACTTTAAAGAGGGTGGGAAATCCTATTATGCTAATTGTAAAGTGGGTGCCTTGAAGACGTGATTGGATTGTAGGATTGTGCTGTAGTGAATGGATTAAAACTGGTGGTCAGGGGTGTGGCTCTGAGGGCTTTAAAAGAAAAGGAGGGTCCGTCTTTCTCTCTCTCTGCTTCTATTATCTTGCAATGTGAGAACCCTGGGTCACTGTCGCCACCACTAGATAGACTATGGACTTCTCAGCCTCAGGAACTGTAAGCAATAAATTTCATTCTTTATAAATTACCCCGTTCCAAGTATTTTGTTATAAGCAATGGAAGCAGACTAATACAACACACTTTAAGATGGTTCTTAAACAAAAACAACACACTCTAAGTAGGTCCTACATCCTCACTCTGAGCAAGTAGCACTCTGATCATGTGGGACGACAAGTATCCTTTAGAGACAACACACACACACACACACACACACACACCCCACACCCCACCCCCAGTCTCTGGTAATATGCAGCACTAAGGATCCTTTAGAGACAACACACACACACACACACACCCCACACCCCACCCCCAGTCTCTGGTAATATGCAGCACTAAGAAAAATCCTCACAGTCCAAGAGGTGGTGAGAACTCATAAGTGTTAATCATGTTTCAGCTACTATGCTGTACGTTTTTTATACATTACCCTATTTAATCATTATAAAATAATTCTATAAGGTATATATTGGCCTCATTTCAAAGATGCAAAAAACAACTTGCCCAATGTCACAAAGTAAAGTAAGTGGCAGGCAGAGTTGAGATTTAAACATACATTTTGATTATTTAACTAGCCTGTAGTCTACAGCCTTTTAAAAGAGAAATGTGCTAAATGGACTAGCCTAAGAAGAATTTAAACTAGTTGGGAGAGGGCAAGAGTAAAAGTATAAGCAAAGGCAAGGAAGCACACTTCATGTTGAAATTAGAATACAACATGGAGGTTGTTGAGGGAATTAAATGTGGTAATTAATATACAGAAAACACACAAAATAGTGCCTGGAACACAGTCAAGTGCTCAATGAGTGTGAGCAATTACCATTTTCTAGTTATAAATGGTTGAGCCAAAAGAACTAAATGAAGGAACTAAATATGATGTTAATATAAATAAATAAGTATAAAAGGAAGAAACTATAGTTCCTATGTTACGACCTCCTATTTCCTCTGAAATAAGAAATGTGGCCTTCTTATGAAAGAGATGGTAAAGGCACAGTACTTGAAACAGACCAATAAAGGTTGTTTTTTGTTTTGTTTTGAAGATGGCAGTTATAAGCAGTTAAGTGACTTGTTCATAATCAGAGTTATAGGTTGTGGAGCCTTATTTGACTTAGGTAAAGATATGTCTACTGTATTTGTGATGCTCCACAAAATTATTAACTTTGATGATAAAAAGTCTTAGGATCCCACTTAGTTCATTTTGTTGAATAATTAAATGCCATATAATGACACTTTATAAATGCATAATTTATAAACAATGGGTATTTATGACTGAATATTTTAGTATTTTCATTAACCCTGAAATATTCAAAAGTTGCTTTAATTGAAAAAGCACAAAAATGAGCAAATATTCCAAGTTTTTGTAAGAATTAGTCATGATTGGTTTTTTTTTCTTTTATCCTACAGCACACCCAATTTATAAAATCAAGAAACAAAACATGATGTTTTATTGGTAAAACCAATAAGGTGGCTAAAGACCACAAATTTCAAAACATGGAACTATTTACTGGCTGATCTATGAATTCCAGCTAAGAAATTAAATGCAAAATCTGCTCCTGAATCTTTTTTCACCAGAAAGTTTTTCTGAACTTTTGAAAACTGATTAAATGTACCACTATATAGCATACATTGATTACTAGGTTAGGTATAGAATAATTTATGAAAACCAAAAACTTTATGATACTCTTGAAAATACCTCAGGTACATTATGTATATGTACATGTACATGTATAGATGCATACACAGTCATGTGCAGCATAACGATGTTTCAGTCAAGGACAGACCACATATACAACCGTGGTCCCATAAGACTATAATGCAAATGAAAAATTCCTATTGCCTAGTGACTTCATAACCATAATCATCATAATGCAGTAGAACAATACATTACTCACATAAGAGCAATAGGCTATACAATATAGCCTAGGTGTGTAGGGGGCTATACCATCTAGGTTTGTGTAAGTACACTTTATGTGTGCACAACTACAAAATCACCTAACAATCACATTCTCAGAATGTATCCCCATCATTAAGCAACACATGACTGTATATATAGATATACAGGTAGATGTTCATATATGTATATATTATAGATATATATACAGTCATCTCTTGGTATCTATGGGGGGGATTGATTCCAGTACCCTCTGAGGATACCAACATTCAATGATGCTCAAGTCCCTTATATAAAATGGCACAGTATTTGCATATAACCCACACGCATCCTCCTGTATACTTCAAATCATCTCTAGATTACTTTTATCTAATACAATGTAAATGCTATGTAAATAGTTATTATGCAGTATTGTTTTTATCTATATTATTTCCTTTTGTTGTATGGTTATTTTTTACTGTTTTGTTCTTTGAATATTTTCAACCTGCAGTTTGTCAAATATACAGATAAGGAAACTGGGGATACAGAGGGCTGACTGTATACAAACATTTAATTGTATGCTTATATGTTTATATACATATACATGTTTTACATACACACACAGAGTTGTACTTCATAAAGAGAAGCAAAGTAAGGTATGGCCAAAATCTACCTAAGTGTTAAAATGGAAAAAACTTTAGAGAGAGAGAAACATACAATTAAATGAAATAAAACATTTCAATGATGCCGCTACCCTTAGGACTAGCTATTAATACTCTAACCAGCAAGAGCTCTTTGGGATCTAACATAGGATCTAACAAAGGTTTATTACACGACTAGTAAGAGACTCACTACACTCAAAATTCAAATGTAAATTTTATTCCTTGGTACTCTGAAATTCTTCTGAAATAAGATTAACAAGTAAACGACGACTAAAATGTCTAAGTCCATTTTTGGAAATACCCTTTATATCAAGTCAACAATTACAAAGCATGCTTGTGCAACATCACTCCAGCCCCACAGAAAACATAAGCAAGAGAGCTCAATACATTTGCCTGCTGAGCCTGGGCAGCATTTTACACAAAATGATGTATAGTTCTACCTAGGTGCCATTCAAAGGCTAGAAATCTTAATAAGATCAAATGGCTTCTTTAGTATATAATAACACATTCAAATAATTGTTGTGTGCAATCTTGTTCCTTTCTTTAATGCATATGACATCATATTACTATTTATTTCATTAAAACTAATGGTTATCTACTGGAATGGGAGAAGAATTAGAAAACGGGTTTTCTGAGAAAATTCAAGAAAGCATGTGGTAGGTATATAACAATGCGTAATTCTGAAGGTCACAATCAAACTAAAATTCTAATTATTTATAAATCTTCATAGATCTACATATAGAATTATCTACTACAAAAAGATCCATCTTTAAACATAGGTGATTCAATAAAATTCATAATGTAATATTTATATTATGCAACCAAAATAATCACTTCTCAGCAGTCAGCTACCAATACTCACAGACTGATTATAATTTAAAGATTAGGTTCTGTCTCTCCCTCTTGCAATGGGGAACAGTGAGATAGCAGGTACACATTTTCATCTTTGTTTGCAATCTATTTTAAAAACAAGATGTCTATTGACATGACGTTTTGACAGCTGTTATGGGTTGAATTGTGTCCCCCAAAAGTTTAATGTGCTGGAGGCATAGTCCCCTTCGTGACAGTGTTAAGAGGGTAGGTAGGAAGTCCTATTATGGTAACTGAAATGTGGGGCCTTGAAGAGGTGATCAGATTGCAGGACCATGCCTTAGTACGTGGATTACTAATGGTGGTCAGGGGTGTGGTTCTAAGGGCTTTAAGAGGAGAGCACGTGAGTCTCTTTCTCTGCTCCGTGATTTTCTGCCATGTGAGACCCCTGCATTGCTGTAAATCCACCACCAAAGAAGACCCTCACCAAATTTGTTCCCTGGACTTTGAATTCCCAGCCTCTGAAATTGTAAGCAATAAATTTCATTTTTATAAATTACTGGGGTCTAGGTATTTTGTTATAAGCATTGTTTAATACATCATATATCTATGAAAAATATTTTACATAAGAGTAGTCTAAATGTGGTTGGTAGAACTTATTTCTGGCTCAAAGACACGTCACATGAGAAAACCAAATCAAAAATCAAAGAGGGAGAAAAAACACAAGAAAAAGCCTTTTTGAATACAGAACCATTTAGTGATTACACTGCTACAAAACAAAGCAAAAAAAATAAATAAATAAACTAGAATATTGTCTAGTAACAATACTACAACTTTGATTTTAAAAGCATACAGTTGGCTTGAAAAGCAAACTCAAGCCATGTGGAAAACCCTTCCAGCCTTGGGTTGTGGAACTAAAAGCAATTTCCTCTATTTTTCTGTATTTCACAAATTTTCTGTTTAATGCAGAAACAAGATTAAAATAATGAGATTAAAATAAATTAAGGCAAGTAACATTGGTGAGGAATTTGCAGAAGTTTAAGAAAAAAAAAGGAACATGAACAATCTAAACTCATAATTAAACCAAACTTCACACCAAATCTGCTGTAAACGGAATATAAATTTTATGCAGTTCAAAAGTATTGAGATTTCTAAACCATGAT